GAAGCCCCCCCCCCTCCAGACAGGAACTGCCTGGGCCCCGTCTCCTCCGCGCTGTGGGCACGGATCCCTAGGAGCGGGGAGAGAAGGGGGAGAAGGATCTCGCATGGAAAAGAAAGTTAAAGGGAGGCTGAAACTTCCCTCTCCTCCATCTCCCCACCCGTGAAAGTTCAGCCTGGATCAGCCCGTAAGCAACCTTCTTACCCGAGGTCTCCCGCATCTGAGGCCTTCCTCGCATTTTCTTCTTGGCTCGGCTTTTAAAAGATGAGTATTAGTTTAGAAATCCGAAGCTAGTGCCTGTGAGGCCATGTAATTTGACTGCGAATGTAGCGCACCCCTCCCTCCAAGAGAGGCTGCCTCTCAGTGCGCTTGGAGCAGATCGGGGACTGCTGGGAAGGGAGCCCCTGCCAGATTTTCTCCTTGCAGACGCCAAGAAGACAGCGAGAGCAGCCTGTCAAGACGCTGGGTAGGAAAAGTTCAAGAGAGGAGCTTCGGGAGATGCTCCCGAGGCAGCCCGGGCTGGAGCGTAGCGGCCCCGGTTGGGTCAGCGCCGGGTCCGCACGGGCCGTGGGCTGCGCGGGAGGCACCCACCAAAAATAGCCGCAGAGAGTGACACAGAAATGTAGGGGAATTGAAAAATCCTAGGAAAACCCGTCCGGAGTCCCCTTGGTTTTTGTTCTGGCTGTCCCCGGCCTATTTGCTCCATGAGAAAACCCGGAGAGGGACGATGTTCCCCGGGCTCAACTTGCGCTTTCTCTGCCCTTACGTGTCCAGATACACATCGATGTGTGTATGCACATAGACATGTATGTGTGCGCGTGTGGCACGGAGAGCGAGCAGGCATCTCCAGGTAGCAGCGGCCGAGATCACCCACTTTCCCGGGCGAAACCGGGCTTGGCAGGGAAAGCTCCGGGCTGCAGCTGCAGCCTCTGCCGAGCAGCGGGACTCCCCTTCGGAAAGGGATTTTAGGCTACAGGATATTTCCCCGGCAGTGAAGAGGGTCGAGGGAAATGGATCAAGCGTTTTGGAGGGTTATCCCGGCCCTGCGTGCGTGACCGGTTTGGTTTTTTTTCTTGTGTTTTTGCCGTGTTGCTTTTTTTTTATTTTATTTTTTTTTATTATTTTTTTTTCCCCACACGGATATAGTTCCTCCCTTCCAATTGCTGAATTCCTTGATGCAGTTTTCAAAGGAGCCCGGTGATTATGTCAGGATGTCTGGAAGAAAAAAAAAAAAAAAAAAAGGGAAAAAAATAGAGTTGAAGTTTTTCCAATTCAGATTCATTCTGCAGTCCCGGGGAAGTGTAAATACACAGATGCAGAACACGGTTCTTCCT